CTTATTAAAATCGGGACCCACATTCACATAAGTTATACAAGTAAATTATCATGAAAACATAAAAACACTTGCCATAACGCCTTCAGAGGCCCCAACAACAAGCAGGGCACCATCCGACAACCTCAATTAATGCAACAGTCATCTCATTAGAAAAATTCTCATGCGCAGAGGTATCCATAACATTGCACAAATAGCTCTTCCCTTTGGAATCCTCGAGCACCACGCCGCACACTCGATCTTAATCAAGATCCTCCTCTCCTGCTCACTGATCCTCGTCGGTAAACATCACAAGTCTCTCCCTGTCGGTACCAAACATCGAGAACTTTTGGGTCTGCTCGACAAGATGTCCATGAAAATGGTCTTGCCGTGCTGAAGGTGACCAACGAGAGCCACATGGTGGACGAGGGCAGGGTTCAAAGAGAGGACGAGCGGGAACTCGGTGGAGACGTAGGTGAAGAAGGCTCTGGCCAGGGTGAGCTCGAACAGGACGGTGCGGACGGGCTTGATGATGGGCATCTCAAGAGGCTACTCGTCCTCGTCCATGACTAGGATTTCGACGCCTTCGCAGTCGGTGTCAGAGGAATCACGAAGATTTGGGTGGACGTTCCAACGCTTTAGAGAGAGAGAGTCGGTGACAGATTATGAGAAAGTCGGTGAGAAAGAGATTTATAAGGGGGAGAGTCGGTGAGAGATCTATAAGAGAGAGACGGTGAGATAGTCAGTGACTGTTCATTAACTAATAAATAAAAATTTATTCAGATTTACACTATGACCATAAGAAGCTGATGTTGTTCACTCACTAATAAATTAAAACCTATTTAGATTTACACTGTGATCATAAGACAGGTATATCTCTTGATCTCGAGACATACAACTATAAAATACAATCAAGATCCTACCAATTTTCTAAAAATCTTCCGTTAAGTCTTCTCAAGAAGTGAAAGTCACGCTCACTCTTGGTGTTGATAACTATATATTTCTAAGGTTGTTTGACCTCGGCACAATCGTCGCTGATGCCACTGGTAAATATCTAAGGTTGTTTAATCTCTAATTTAGTTTTTGTCCTTTTAACACCACATAAATATCTATTTTGTTGACGATGCTGGTAATAATCTATTTATAAGGTTGTTTGATCTCTAACTGATTTTTTTTTACAAAAATCTCTAATTGATTTTAGTTTCTATGTTCTTATGTATATAATTAGATTCGAGGATTACATATAAAATTTTTCTTTTCGGTTCTATAATAAGTATTGTGCATTATAAAGTCAAATTTCGCTCCTATTAAATTAATGTAGGGGGTGGGGCTCCTTACCGTAGTGACCTCATGCCATAGCAATATAGCATGAACAAATTTGGAACAACACTACATTGTTTGATAATCTCACACCTATTTTTTTAAGGGAACGACACTAGTTTATTTGACAACCTCGTGCTTAACTTTTCAAAGGGAACCGACACTACATTCGTGGGATCTGTAGACTTGGGGAGTAGGAGCTACGACGCTATGCTGATAAGGATAAGGGAATGATGGAGAAGTATGTTGCACAAGTACCAGAGGTGGAAGATAGGTATTAGTACTGATAAGGATAAGGGAATGATGGAGAAGTATGTTGCACAAGTACCAGAGGTGGAAGATAGGTATTAGTAATCGAAAGGTGTACTGGAATCAAAATATACAAAAGAAGATTAGCCGAGACAAATAATAGGGTAAAATAAGTCCCTTTAAGAATTCCATCCCAAAAAGATAATAGTGAGAAATATATAATAAGAATAAAAGAAAAAACCCCACTAAACTTTGTAAAGAATAAGGAAATAAAAAGTCTCACCAGACTAGGTAAAGATTAAAGAATATTAAAGACAGAGCAACAACGAGAACTAAATAATAGATTAAGGCCTATTAACTATTCAGTCGCCATTCCCTGTAAGCTCTTGAAACACTTTTAAGTAAAGAAATGGTCTGGGTGAAAGAAATAATAGGCTCATTAGAAAACAAGTAAAGAATTCAAAGAAAAAAGGATCTTAGGCGCGCTGAGTCTAGCACACCAAAGGGAGCACACCAAAGGCCTAAATAATGCAACAATCAAAACTATTAGGCCTAAGAAATAAGAAAAATAGAGAAGTCGGTTGCTATTGCTCAACAGTTTAGGGACATTGTACTTCAGGTTCAACATATCGTTATGATCCTTTTTGTAAGGAAATTAGTATCATTTTGATCACTAAGGAGGTGTTTGGCAATTTGAAAGTGAATTTGAATATGTTAATTTTTTTGTAAATAATTTTTACATTCATGCTATCATGCAAGTAAAATATAATGTTTGTTTAAAAAAATTAAATTAATGTTGACTATGCAATGTGAAGATAACGTGGCGAAATAAGATTAATTATAAAATATAATTAAAACTATTTAATTAAATTTAGTTACTGTTTTTGTCACTTTCATATGACTTCAATTTAGGGAAAGTCAAAATTGCATTAAATCTTATATGACAACTTTCTTGTATTTCGCTTTCATAACCAATTGCATGCAAAGAAAGTACATCTATAATAAAGTAAGTAAATATTATGTCACATAAATGTTCAGTTGATTTTGCTTCTTGTTGACTTCTTACCTGTGTAACTTGATGGTGTACTTCAATTCCTATTGCTACAATACACATATTTGTGGTAAGAGCTATTTGTTTGTTCTTTCTTTTGGTATCATCCTAGTGGTAATAAGAGCTATTTGTTTGTTTTGTGTTTGGTATTATCCTTTAAGTCATTTCAAGCCCAAACATCTTATACGATATGGGTGACCTAAGAGCAATTTCAATTTTGTGAGGGCCTATATCAAAATAACCCTAATAGATGGGCGTAAAACTTATGATGTTATCGGACAAATATGAAACTATATCTTACTTTTTTTATTATTTTTGTATAAACATGAAATTTTATAATATCAAAATTAAATATTAATGAAATTCTAGGCATTAGCATAACACTTGCATGGGCATTTGGATGTGCAATAATTCTATAATCGCAATAAACCAATACAAGGAAATAGCAGACCTGGACCTGTCACTTGACATTTTTCCACAATACAAACTACGTCTATCCTCCCATTGGCTATTGGGTGCAACATTCGAGTTTAATTTTAATAATAAAAGACAGTATAGGCAATGTAATAGGAGCTTGAGGAGAATTTAGCTATGATCTACAGTAAATACATGATCTTATAACACATGCGCCTGACCGTAATTGACACAGACAACAATCAAGCAACCACAACAGAAAAAGTTTTGACTAGAACTGGGAAAACCCGGTCAATCCCTTCTTCAACTTATAAAAACAAAAGTAAACGGGGGAAAAGGGAGGTTCAGGGTCAAGATAACTTCTGGTTAGTCTCAGCTGGCAGCATGAGACGGTCTCGACCTTCCACTAACTTTGCAGATCGAATAAGATCACCAGACTTGATCTGTGAAAGCACTTCTCTACCAATAGTTGTATACCTACATTGATACAGCACATATTAAGGCATAAACGTTGCACAGATGTAAAAATCTCAGGGTATGACAAATTGGGATTAGCAAATCATTAACTTTATGCCCTTTTCATGTCCAGGTTCAAGCACATGATCTTGGCTAGGGACCTTCAATTAAAAGACAGAAAAGGGAAGGAGGGATGATGAGTACCCGAAAACTGAAAATTGACCTTCATCAAAAGATAACCCTCCCAGTCCAGCCTGCAAGAGGGGGGAGAAAACAACGTCATCCATATGAACAGCCCAAAGTAAACAATGTTACTGGCCATGAAACTCAAATCCATGACACTGGATTCGCGAAATTCGCTATATGCTCCATGAGCAATAGAGGAGCTT